TGGGGACAGGATTTGAGATCAAGCTGAGCCATGAGTCGGGCTCATGAGTGACAGGTCGGAGAGCAAGGCTCAGGGTCACGGTAGGGGCTCAATGTCAACTTTAAACCTGGAACGATGTTTAGGGCCGGTGGGGGCAGGGGTGGTCAGAGTCGAGGCCATTTCAACGGCGACAACGCTGAGGACGGTCATCAGCGACAAGATGAGGGTGAAGATCGGGGTCAAGGTCGGTTCAAGGCCAAGGTTAAAATTAGGGGGGACAGGATAAGAACAAGAGTCAATGAGGAGATGACATTTTGAGATAAGGCAGGTTGATGTTTGGGGACAGCATCGGTTTTAGGATGAGGGTCAAGGACACCAGAGGGCAAAGCCCAATTTCGTGTGACGTTCAAGGTCACGATCGGAGGACCGGGATGATTTTGCAGAGGCCGCAATCACACAGGGGGGCCAAGTGAGGCCCGATCGCTGGGCCTCGAGCTAGAGAGGCCCCTGCTCCCCTAGAGGCCAAGTGACACCCCATGAAGCCCGGCGTGAAACACAGGGACCAGAGAAGACTTTTGAAGCCATGTGCCACCAGCCCGGGCTGGTGGCTGATCCGTCCCCATGCAGCAGGGTCTGGGCTACTAAGAACGCGGTTTTTAGCGCACGAAGTTTGCGCCAGGAGGAGGCACGAGGAAGGAAAGCAAGCAACCGAGGAGGCCAGCGAAAGCAGAATTCAAGATCTAAAGGTCGGAGAGGCAGTTTGCAAACCCTAAACTGACCCACAGTGGCTCAACTCCTGCTGTTTCATAAAAATCGCTTCTAGGTGGCGACCGTCGGGTTGGAGCTGGGGGAGGACAGGGCTCCCTGCTGCCAAAACTTCCTCCCCTCTGCGACATGCAGGACTGTGTGATATCTAAGTGTCAGCGAGTAGGTCGATTAAAAATAAGACGCGTGGTGACACGTGGGGTCACTAGGAGTCTCTGGCTGCTCCTCGAAAGGGACGATGCTTTCTCCAAGTCCCCCCAAATCCCCAACCCTGTGACGAAAAACAAAATCCTGGCCGGGTGCGGCGGCTCACGCCTGTCATCCCAGCACTCTGGGAGGCCGAGGCGGGAGGATCGCTCGAGGTCAGGAGTTCGAGACCAGCCTGGGCAACATAGCGAGACCCCATCTCTACTAAAAATAGAAAGAAATTATCTGGACAACTAAAAAATATAAAGAAAAAATTAGCCGGGCATGGTGACGCATGCCTGTAGTCCCAGCTACGTGGGAGGCTGAGGCACGAGGAT